TTCCTTTTCATGACCACAATAGACTCATGTTTCGTTCCTTAGTATGAGTTTTTGTGTAGCGATAACTAAAATCTGTCGAAAAGTCTACATAAGGAAAGTCTTCTGTTTCGAGTTTGGCCTAGAGATCCATCTCAATCAGTCTTGAATTTGACGTTAATGATTTATCGGTACACAAATATAATAATAAACGAAGGTAGGTATAATATACACCATTGGTGCCTATTAATTAAAATAAAAAATTCTTAGCCCAGTTACTCCTCATTTCCAATATGTGGCTGAGATCTTAATGTATCTGTACGGGACGATCCTATAAAATCTCAGTCGGCTGTTAATAGATGCATACTAGAATTTTTTTTAATACGACTTTCCGCTCTACCGACTGTTAATAAGCTTTAAGCTCCCAATCAACTAAAAGTTAGGTCATCAGCGCCAATATATTCTCACAATATTTCACTTAGCTTTCCTTTTTTCATAAAATTTATTTTAGTTTAATAAACTTCTTTAAATTCGCTTATTTCCGCGCAGTCCTGCCACACCTTCGTACAACTGTACATGGTATTGTTTAATTTCATTTCTCACTAATATGGCTACATATGACTGTTGTTAACAAACCTTTCGCTGACAAACCCGCCTACAAGCACATTCCTCGCTGCACCCCGCAACTGTAGCAATTCGACGCATTTTTGTGTTGCAGATTTTTTTCTGCGCCGCAATGACTGTAATTTAATTTTAAAAAAAAAAACGCATAAAGTTGATGAGCATGTGTTTGTTTGTGCTATTTACACTCTCATGCGTATGTTTACATTGCTTTACACGCACACGGCGCAACGCGTGGGTATGCGTGCATGTGTGTGGTGCGTGTATGTCATTTCACCATAATTTGGACAGATATGCAGTTTTTCGTGTATTTAAGCATCAAAAGCGGGCGGTTTGGCTTTTTTGTACGTTTTTCCATCTCGCTCACTTTGGGCCACTTTGTGTTGCGGCGCGGCGTCGCCCGACTGCGGTTGTTCATGTGCATTCGCTCACACGCGACGCCCAAATACGCGGCTATGCTTGCGTGGCTGCGCGTTGTCCCGAGCGTCTACCTGCCGCCAAATCCTGCACCTTATTCACACGAAGACAAACACAAGCGCACACACACCTACATATGTGCAAAATGCTAAAAAGCATGCAACACTCCTTGCCGCGCAAAATTTAACACTCATACGCCATGTAAACCCACGGCGCCCAACATTCACCAACGCGCAACGCCCACCGCCCAACGCGCGCCAGCAGTTGTCCTCATTCAAATGACAAAAACTGTGGAAAAAAAACGAAATAAAAATGCATGCGTTTCAGTTATGAAGTCGAAGCGTGTGGCGAGACGAGTGGGAGAAGCGCGCAGCGTGCTGTAATGTTGACTGGTTTTTGCAAAATTTTTCGTAAACGAAAGTCAAAATGAAAATTACGTAAAAATGTGCACACGAAAAAAGTCGCAACGGTAAAACAGTGTAGTCACTAAGTACAGGCGGGCGTGTAGGTGCGGGGTGGCGCTGGCAGCGAAATGAAACGAACCGCCGAATGAGCGAATGTACGAACAAGCAAACGAATCATTATGCCAGCACGAGTGTGCGAAAAAAAGTGTTGCATTAAAAATGCATAGAAAGAAAAAAGTGGTAAAAAACCGATCGATATGATGCACTCATTTCTGTCTGGTGCGCAGTGTGAAGAGCGTAACCTCGCCGCACGTTTCACACTGCTCACGCGCCACCCGGCCAATGTACCGCTGCTAGTTCAGCCAAACCAAGTTCGCGTCCCGCCGCACACCACCCTCATCGCAGACGCTTACTTCCGACCTTCCCTACGAACAAAATACCGACTGCAGTTGTGGCGCTGCAACGCTTCACATAAAAACACACACAGAGACAGCTACACGCTGGCATACACAAAAAGTATACATGATAATAAACGCTCGAAAAACCAAATTTGCAACGTCAGATTTTTTTGTGAAGAGCTTTTTGATTGTGTCCTCGTAAAAATTAATTTGAGGCAAGCAGCCCGACAGAACAAGATGATGCCAGTGTAGGTATTGGGGGTGGTGGGCCGAAAATGAGGATGTGTATCTAGCAGGCGTATGTATGTTTGTAGGTGTACCCATTATTTTAGCCGCGCGTTCGTTGTCTTTAAAGCACAGACACAAAGTGGAGGACACAAAAGCAGACAAATTGTTGCAAGCGCCGTTAGCTAGTGGCTGATGGCTGGCGCTCTGACTGCTTTGCTAGTCTGAACTTGAGTTAAGTACGCAGGCACTGTCAAGACAAGACGGTCGCTCGGGGCGCAACGGGCTGCAAATAGCCGGCTGTTGGCAGACCCCTTGGGTACAGCTGTCATTATTTTCATGTTCCCTTAACAAATATTGGCGCAATTAATTTAGTTGCATGCAAATTTTTGCAAAATATTGCCAATTAATCGTGTCGCGCAACAACAACTAAATATATAGTTATGACTTGAAAGGGAAAATTATTAAACAGTATTTATATTGAAGCTGATAAAGTGAAAATGAGGTTAAATTGGACGGGACGCTCAAGGAATAGTAAGTTGAAGTTTTACTAGATTAATATTGCGAGAAAATGAAAATAGGCAGAAAGAGTCTGACAACAAAACCAAAGTCTCAAATTTCATTATCTACATCCCTTGAAAACAAGTCCATAATTGAGTCAATTAAGTGATTTTTTCTTTAAACGAGCAAAAAATTTGCTAATGGAGTCAATTAGGGTACTGCGACTTGTATTCCCATTCAATTTACTTTGCAGTCAGTTTTGGCAAAACTTCAGTTGTTTGCATTAAATGGAGGTTAAGGAGTTATATTCAATTTTAAATTTAAAAATGTCTCAAAAACGGCTTGACCTATCGACTTTTAAATTTCACACGTGCTTTTTAGATGAACATATTTGTCATGATAGAAGGAATACGATTTTTGATAACAATTTCGATTTTAAGCCACTCTGAAATGTAAGCTTTTTAACAAAAATCTACTTTTTTTCAAGCCGTCACTTTATCATTGCCGTTTTGTGAAAAATCCAAATTTGACGAGTCCTTCAATTATTACCTGTATCCAACAATAGCAATTATAAAATTTTTTTTATTTTGGTTTTTGGATTTGAGATAATTTTAAGTAGAAAAATCTTTTTCACCGCCAAGCATTTTTTTCGGAGATCCTCCTCGGAGAGCTCATTTGTCAAAACATGCACATGTTAAAGTAACAGCAAAGTTATCCAGTTGAAAACATTGCGGTAGAATACTTGTATATGTATATCCTTACAGTGGTACCAGCGCTAGTAATCTGCCTCTATATGATTATGCCAGTCTATGAAATGTATGTCAATTGCTTGTTCGATTCGGTACACGCTTATTGCTGGGTAATCGCAGGCAGACTATGTGATATTACTTATGGGTCATCCAAACTTGAGCTTACAAATATAGTTAAATCAACAGTTTAATATTCTCACATTTTCTTAATGGTACTGGTTTTGTAATAAAACTGGCAATTTAGTATTATTTTAATGCCATTATTGCCGCAAATTTTCTTAAGTAATAAATTTCAGTGGTGTACTTAATAAAAACAAGAAAAAGCGTGCGCACCTCTGTTGCATCGAAGCAATAATACCTTTCACAAGAATTTGAATATGATCGTTCAGATTGCTTGGAAAATGTTAGCTATAATTGTCCTATATCGGCGGTTCCGACACAAATGACGCTGATCGTTTATGTAAATATATAGATATTTATAGGGTCTCTGAGGTTTCCTTCTGCGTGTCACAAATTCGTGGTTCAAAGTAAAAATATTTATAATTATTTGGTTTTATATACTTATCACATTAAAACACTCATCATATTACAACAATACCGACTGTAATTGGGAAATCCCCGAATTATGAAATGACAATAAAATAATTAACAAACTTCCACTTACAACACTATTGAGTAACGATTGCACATGTATATTTTGCAAAAGCATACAAACACCTAACTATATAGATACATATGTACATATATTATATATACCGAAGCATATGTTATCAAGCATTGATTTATTGATATTGCATAAACACAGCGAAATTCGTCGAAGAAATAAGTCTTCAACAATACCTGATAAGATTAACGGGCGTTATTTCAAAAACCTGATTTCAAAATGATATAAGTTGATGAGCACACATATCTACGCATATGTGTTATAGTTATTTACATATGTATATGTCGCATACGAGTCCAGCGTCGATCGTTTATGTAACTCACTTCGTCAGCACTGGCAAATCTGCTTCCGTTCTTGACTCGCCAGGCGCGATTGAGCTAAATTTGTTTCCAAATATCGTTATCAATGTTGTTATGTGTCGTACACACACACATGTACATACACAATGAATTTACGAAATTCGCCTTTCCGTTTTCGCGTTGCTTTTGTTTTTGTCGCTTACGTTGGCTGGCTATTGCATCGCCTGATAAGTGTATTGACAATGAGAAGGTTCAGTGTGCCAATTTTTGTGTAATTTTATTTATAATATTTTTCGTTGTGGTTGTAACTGTTGCAGTTTATTCGTCATAAATTGATAAACATTTGCAATAAATTTAAATTGCAACAATTTCAATCAAAACGAAATATTTAATTCATATGCGGTTGTAAAATTGCTGCCAAATCGTATGAATAATTTTGTTTTTGCTTACAACGCAGTTGAGAATTACAGTTAGCTCTGAGAGGTTCGTTGAATTGAATGCGGTGAAGTTTACTTCTACAGATCTACTTGAAATTGAGCTTTTTTAGCGGAAATCGCACTAGATTTCTTTGATATAAACTTGCAATATCATTAGAAAAGCATATTTTAGAATTTGCCTAAAGTTATGTTAGTTTTCCAAAAAAAAATTATGCAATATAAACGCAAATACAACAGATAGAACATCACTTTCAGCTACAAACCCGCAAATAGCGTTAAAATTAAAATATCTACTCTATTATTTTTCAGCTCCAAGACAATGCGTGCCACGCCCACACTCTCTTCACGTCGCCCCTGCACCGATGATGCGCTGAGCAGCGCCGTACAAGAATTTCTCAGCGGAAAGTATAACACACGTAAACCGTCAGACCAATACGCCGGCAGTTCGAGCACGAGCCCGGGACGCGCCAGACCCAATCGCGCCGGAGTGAGTGGCAAACGTGCCAATGTACACCTCGCCAACGCGCTCTTACACGGCATGGACTTGGACAAGGATATGTCCGGCGATGAATGCAACACTGCCGATGGCAATGCAGGCATAACTGTCGGCCATGGGAGTAATGCTTCAACACCACAACCAGAAACCGCCACACACACTGCACTGGAAGAGCTCGCCAACCGGCTGAACGCGACGCATTCTCTGCGTAAATATTGTGTGAATAATGGCACCGGTGATGCGGGGCGACGTGATGCCGCCAATGATGTCGGCAATTGCAGCGATTTGTCACCAAAACCGAACGCAATGTACGTGGATGGCGCTAAATGTGACACCGGTACACCGTCGAGCAGCGCTACACCACAGCCGCAGCAATCGCCGCCAGCGGCTGGTCTTGATCCCACATTAGCGATTTTGCAGGCATTCCTTTTTACGCTCACCAGCTTTGGCGCTTTGCAGCAACGTGCCGATCAGCCGGTTACGCTGCGTGATCTAGTGGCCAATTTGAAGGATATGTTGGAAACACATACCGCGGGTGATTTAAGTGTGGAGGGTCTTTTCAGCAATGGCAAGCCCAATATAATGGATCAATCGTTGTTGGCGCAAAAGCTGCAACAACACACGTCAGCATATGCGGCACAGCGCTTGCCCAAATCAGATACACCAGAGACCACGAGTTCGTTGGACCATCACGAGCCGATTGGTGACGATCTGGCAGCGTCGATTCTTAAGATTCCGTCCTATAAGCCAGTGGCAGGCACGCCGACGCCCACATCGGCTGCTGCACGCGCCTCATGCTCGCCATCCTTGCTGTGCAACAATTCCACCGCCAACTCTATGCCAAATCCCAACGGCGATAGTCCGCATTCCGCGCCCTCACCACGCATCGCCAACTCTATGTTGGCTGCTGCTGTGGCGGCCGCTAGCAATAATGGCACCGCCGCATCTGTCGGTCGTCAGAGCAATAATGACCTATCTGTCATTTCACCGCCATTAATGCAGCACCGCCAATCACCACCATCGTTCAGTTTTCGCGATATGATCGCACATGGCATTCACCGCACTATGAACGAGCAAGCCAATCAGGACGCGCATGCCGCCGCTGCCGCTGTTGCTGCGGCTTCAGCGCCAATGCTGGGCTTGTGCTTGGAAATGGAACGCTCAACTAACAACAATAGCGGCAGCAGTACGGATCATAAGAAACCGACAATATCGGTGGTGAAGAATATAGGTGGTACCGATACAACACGGTTTGGTGCTGCACCCAATGTCTTGGCTGGATCCAGTGTGGCTGGTAGCAGTAGCAGCACGCACAACTCACATGGCTATCATCAGGCGCACATGCATCATCATCTGCCACACCATCTAAGTCGCCAAGAGGCAGCAGCGCTTGCCGCCGGTAAAGGTACCCGACCAAAACGTGGCAAGTACCGCAACTATGACCGCGATAGCTTAATCGAAGCAGTGCGAGCTGTGCAGCGCGGCGAGATGTCGGTGCATCGTGCGGGCAGCTACTTCGGTGTGCCACATTCAACACTTGAGTACAAAGTGAAAGAGCGGCATTTAATGCGGCCGCGTAAACGTGAGCCCAAGCCACAACCCGGACTAGATGGTAGCAGCAGCACGACAACGGGTAAATCAAACTCTAACATTCCTGGTCATCATAACAATCTGAACAAAATCAAGTTGGGCAACGCTGGCAACAGTAATGTCAATTCCAAGCTCAACGAAGCGCATAAGGGCAATAGTAACTCAGCGGCGGCCGCATTCCCAACCAGCGCACCGAACGGCATGAAATTGCCGCTCTTCGATCCCATCCAATATCCGGCACATTTATTTTGGAATCCCTCGCCAGCTGTAGCCTTTAGCCAAATGCATATGGAATTCAATCGCAATGCAGTGGCGGCGCAAAGCGCCAGCGCGGCACAACGTTACACCGAAGAAACGCTACGTGGCGTTGGCAGCACATCGGCCGGCACGCCTTCAAACGCCAACAGCCCCAGTCCTATTGCCAGTCCATTGTCTGCAGCGACAAGTCATACACTCAATATGAAGAGTGCGCGTGAGCTTGCCGAGAATTTATATGAAAGTGCTGGCGCCAATGGTTCCTCAATACTCGACGGCATCATACGAAAAACGCTCGATCGCAAAAGCACTGACGTGGGACCGCCAAACAGTTCCAGCACCGGTGGCGCACTACTCGACCACTTGTTGGTCAAGAAAAGTGCATTACCGCCATATGTTGGCAACAACACTAACGATCATCGCTCACCCAACGCTATGAGCAGTCTACGCGCTAAACGCGCCGCCAGTCCGCTTGCATATACCGAAATCAAGCGTGAACGCGGTAGTCCGCCACACAGTAGTGGCGACGACGATGACGACGACGCCTCACGCAGCGGCAACGACGAAAGTAGCTACGAGCACAATAACAATAACAACAGCAAAGGTAGTTACATCGGCAATAATGAGTTGCACCTCCAGCATACGCACTTGCACCACCAACAACACAGTCGCAGCCGCAGCCGCTTAACCTCCCACGACTCCGCCGAAACCGATACCAGTAGCATACCCAGCGAGCTCATGGCCAATCACAACAACGGCAATAAACTGACCGCCGATCTTAATGGCAATGGCGGCAGCGCGACAATGAGTAGTATGCTGCCAAAAGTGGAACCACCGCTAGAATTCGGACACGCGCCGCCCACGTTGGGCAGCACATCCATACTACAAGAAAAGTTGGCGCAAATTAAGGCCGAGCAGGAGAGCGAAGAGCACTTATAGAGATGAATGATCTGGCAATACGGCATGCCGTTACATCAGCGGTACTAAAACGCTAACGAGTTACGGGAGGGGCAATTAATCATGGTGCTGATTGTAGGCGCAGTAAATGGGCGTAGAGTCAAATGGCACCGACAGGCGTACAAATCTACCTTGAATCCAAATTGAATGGGCATAGCAGTACAGCGGCATACCGTGGATCTGCAAGCATCCTAGAAAGAAAGAAAATTTGGCGAAAGAAACTGGAACTAGTGGCACTCACTATGCAGGGCGTTAGTTGGGATCTGTGTTCAGAGATCAGGATCGCCGATCGCCGGTCGCTAACGGTAATCGGTTCAAAATAAGCTTAGTCAAAATTGAAGTGAGGGTTTAAGCTCTTAGTATATAATTACCTAACAACCACACACATGCAGACATACACAAAATTAGTATGTATAAACAAGTATATAATATGCTAATCTATATAGGAGGAATTATGTATGTACACACGCGTACATACAAAACAGAGAGGGGCAACACTCGAGTATATAGACATATGTGTATGAATGATATGTACAGTTTATACCCACACAACAAACAGGCAGACAAATGAAGAACATAAGGTGTAAAGAAGAAACAAAAACAAATTTTAATTAATTAATATATACAATAGCTGTAATACATATAAATATATATATGTGTGTGCATTTAGCCAGGAAACGCATGTATGTATTTATAAATAATAAGAAAGAAAATCAAAGTAAAGTAAAGTAAACTAAAGGGCGAGTGGGCGTAAAAAACCAAAAACAGCAAATAAATAATGGCTAACGGAGAATGGAAGACGGTGAATAAACGAAGTAAATAATTGAAAATGTGAACAAGCGATAATACACATACATACATACATCTAAGTAAAAGTATAGTAAAAATCAACACTAAACTAACACAAAGGCAAAGTAAATAGGTAACAGTAAACCTAATTAAATAATTATACAATCTAACAATAAAAAAAAAATTTAGTAATAGTATGACAACAAAAACAACATAATATATCAGTTGCAGAGATCATAGATATATATATATTGAACAGAGAAGAATCTTTGTATGATAAAACAAAAACAAAAAGAAACAACAACAACAAGATACTGAAATTTTTCTGTTTCGTTTTCTGACAATCGACAAATAGGCTCTCCTTGTACAAACAAACAAACAAATGTAGCTAACTACATGCAAACAAAGCAAAGCAAAAACAAAAAAAAAAACAAAAAATAATAAAGTTAGTAATAAAACAGCAAACCGAAATAAAATAATAATACAAAAGCTAAATCAAAACACACAAAACAAAACCAAAAAATATATAAAAATAAAAAAATAATATAAAAGAGAAATTAAATAAGCAAAATAAAAACTAAAATTAAAAGCGAAAACAAAACAAAAAAGCAACAGTGAAAACAAAAATACAAAACAAAAATCAAGCTAACATGTCTTTAAATAATAGCGAAGCATATTACAACAACAATAAAACAGTTGAAAACATTTGCGAAGAGAGCAAAGTTTCGCGCAAAATATGCAAACTTAAAACAATTTCATTTTTTTAGTTTTCGAAATTCATTTTGATTTCCATTACAAACGATTAAGAGAATTTCTAAAACACACACCAGCAAATAGACAGAATGCAAATACAACCAACAACAGGATAGCTTGACTTGTACAACCAATCTGATCCGATCAAAAAACCATATGCAACAGCAACAACAACAAACAATAATACCAGACAACAGTTATAAGAATGAATGCAACAGCGCAGATGCAACCAGCAACTGCAACAATATCAAACAGCCAATACAACAACAAAACTACAGCAAAACAACCAACAACACGCAGTCTCAAACGCAGCAATAACCGTAATAGCAACAGGCAAGCAGCAACAACAGCAACAGCAACAACAATAAGCAATAAACAATTATTAATAATAGAATAAAATACATACACATACAACAACAACTCCGTAAAAGCAACTAACAAAACCGTAATGTTGTTCCAAGTTGAAAGGGCGCAGAAAGAGTGGAGAAACGTAAAAAAAATCAACGTTTTTGTTTTAAATATGTTTAAGGTTAGAAGAATTGCGCATACTCCCAAGTAATGAAATTGAGATGCTTGAAAAAATCTGAAGACACTTTAAACATTTCAGAACTTCTTGATCATATATGGTAAATAAGTGAAAGTGAAAATATTTGTAACTTTCATACAAATATATGTTTCAACGTTTTCTGAGTGATATACAAGTATTTCGAAGAACTTCATGATATGTGTATATACCAAGGTATATAACAGTTATTCATGCATGATTATTTCGAAAAGGGTAGAACTTGATGTGAAACACCTCGTCTCACCAAAAACTTAAGTCCAATTATAAATCAATGACTAGAAAAATGTCTTTCACTGAAAAGAGTTCAAGAATCAGTAAGCAGAAAACTTGAAAAAACAAAACGTCATTTTCAGGCCTTGGAAAATATTTGAATAATAGAAATTTGCTCCAAAACGATATCTAGGCCAAATTTCCTCTATATAAGATAAAGTGAAATAATCGTTAATATATATAGTGAAAACTATCGTGTTTCAAAAGATAATAGAACATTTTTTGAACTTTGCAACTCAGCAACTTTGTCTGAACATACAACTTTCTGACCTTCAATATTCAAACTCTAGATTATTTCACTAAAAGGTTCAGGTCATATCGACAAAAGTTCAAGAAACCCTGCACAAATAACTTCGTATTAAACTTTTGTGCCTAAAGCTGGGAACACTTTTTAAAAATAGTATGCGAAATACACAATCTAAACTTTTTCGAAACCTAAACGACTTGGAACCAACATTACTTTACAATAGTTACATATAGTTACATAAATACAAATACGAATTGAACAGCAACAACAATGCAATAAACAAGATAGTCCATTACAGGTCAGAAACGCAGTTACATACCCATAACCCACAACAGAACTCCACAACAATAGACTATATACGCAAACTTAACTTAAAACAGCAATAAAGAAAACTTCACATACAACTAAAAAAGGCTTTTGGAGCATTGTTTCGTTTGTGGCACCCTGGAAATTTTCGATATATAAAAAACAATCTGGAAAAATTTGTTTATGAAAAATATGTTGCACAAATGAAGCGAATGCTCGAAAGGTCGTAACCATATTTACTGAAAATTATTTCAATATTTATTTCCGTAGATTTTTTTAGTAAAATCTTTTTAAATTAATAAACTATCGAGAAAAGTAAATTATCAAGAAAATAATATTCAGAACATTTCAGAAATCCTCGAGACGGAAATCAATAAACAAAGCTGCCTTCACATTTACAAAAAGATCAAAGAAAAAACACAAAAAACAATTTAAAGGGAATATTAAAAATTTAAAATGCTAAAATTGCTTAGAAAAAATATTCAAATATTAAATTACACGCTAAAAAAGAATTAGTCAAACGTAATGAATGATTAAAAAACACAAAATAAAATATTTTTTTTTGCCGAAATATAGAAAAAAGAATTTAATTTGCCTACCCAAATTAACAAAAAGCCAAACACACACTCAATTTTTAATTTTATTTTAAATTAAACTTAAAACATTTTTGATAAAATTATGAAGATTAAAATTAGTGGTCAACAGATTAAGGTGAAATTATATTTAAAAAAATAACTTTCGGTGTTAAATACAAAAAACATATGTAAAAAAAAATATGTCAAACCTATGCACATACATATACATACATACACATATTCAGACCTATATATTTATATATGTACCTACGGAAAATATATACTTAAGCTAAGCAAAAGTCTAAACAAAAACAAAGTATGCAAAATTAAATGTTCGGTGTTCGTATATCATGTAAAAGACAAAAACAAAATCCAGTTTTGGCATAGAAACAGTATAAGTTCATGTCTGATATATATAATTAAGCCAGAAAAATCCAAAATTTAAATGTATGTGTATGTAAAACCTTATATGTATGATATGTATGTGTCTTCATGTCGAGTATACCTCAAAAATAACAGTACATCATCATTTTGCATAGCACAGTGAAAGTGAAAGTGAAAGAGAAAAAGAGAGAGAGAGGGAGAGTCAGCAGTTCAATCAATACAAATTGTAAATTATTGAGGACTTACTCCAAAAATTTATAAATGAACATATGTCGTTTTCAGTGTTAACTGCTTTGGAAATACAATTTTTGTGTAAAAGCGCAAAATTAAAAAATTTAAAAAAAAAATACTTTTTCGGGAATAATTAGTGTGTGTTAGGGCAATGAAATATATTTTTAAAAAAAGCTTAAAAGAGGAATGTTTCAGGCAGGGCATGAATTCAGTTCTTAAATTTAAAAATTAAATGTTTTGACATGTAAAAAAAAAATGAAGAAAAAATTATTTAATAAGAACTGAAAGTTTAAAGCAAGTGAAGATTCAAAACTGATAGTTACTAAAATAATTTCAAAATTTTTGGTTTTTTCAAGAAATGTTAGCAGTTTAGAGACATAAAACTTCAAGGTACACTTAAAGGTCGAAATTCTTCATTATGAATATAATACTTTAACAATAACTAAAATAATTTTAAAATTTTTTGTTTTTTGAAGAAATGCTATCGTTTTCGAGGCATTAAACTTCATAATAAATAAAATATTTTTAAATTTTTTCGATTTGGTTTTCATTTCAAATATTGAATTTAATTATTGAAGTAAGAGGATCAAATTTTAAAATTTAACTAAAATAATTTTGGAACTTTTATTTATTTTTTAACATCATTTTCGAGGCATTCAACTTCTTCTAAAAAATTATGAATTTTTGCCAAAACTTTTTTTTTTTTTTTAACTTATTTAAAAAAAAGAAATAATTACAAGAAACATTCCTCAAGCTTTGAAACAATCTAGGCTAAACATATGTATACTTTTCACTGCTTTCCATTTGATTATTTATCATAAACTCCGGCAACATTTCGGCACTGAGAGAAATTTAACCCAATTAAATATGTATATTTTTAAAAATAATAAAGTAGATATTAATAATATTAAAAGAAAAACTTAAATGTACCTAAACAAATTAATTCGTGTGCTACGTAAAACTTGCGACTGTAGTGGAACCGTGAAAGCACAGACAATTTTTTATATACATAAATACTTACAAGCATGCATATACATACCTATATACATACATATTTGAGTAAAATGCAAAAAAAAAAACAAACAAAAACAGAAAATTAAATGTAAAACATTTTTGTGTCGAAATTATATATAAAATATAAATACATACATACATACATACGCGTACAGTACATACCAACATAAAGACAAGTTTCAAAAAATATATACATATATATTAAAGTAAATGCTAAGAAAAATTAATCCTTTTGAATGTGCGTATATTTAGATAAATATATAAATAAAAATTAAAAAAACAAAAAATATTTAAGAAAATCAAAAAAGACTTTGGCATTTTTCTAAAAGTCTACACTTATACACACAAATATAACTGGCACATACATACAAATATATAACGCATATAAAACACATGTTATGTAAACATTTCCAGAATGCTTTTTTGACTTTTGGCCATTAATTTAATGCGTTTGTGTGTAAAAACCAATGCATATGCGTATATTAAAGAGAAATAATTTTTTTTTTTGTTTTGACAGCAAATGCTTGTCACTTTCGTGTTTACATATGACAAACAGGTGACAACTGACAATTGACGAACAATTTTGAGCGAATAATTGTTTTAGGCAGGACAACTCGACCACAGGACACACTGCGTTAGCGGCGAACCACACCACACACACCTACAAATACATATGCATAAAGTCGAACTTTTAACCTTCAACGACATGTTGCCATGACAGGCTGCACGATCTGATCGAGATCGAGACCAAAAGTACATATATTTATGTAATTATTGAGTATGTAGTAATTTTATTATTATTATATTTCAAATTTACCACAAACAAACCAGTGCATACATGCACAAAAACATATTTATTATATATACAAAAAATACATACATACATTAGACACTATCTGTGATTTATAATCCAAAATTTTTGATGCGAAAAATGAGTATTCAAGCAACATCGCAAGAGAATTGGCATTGAAGCTGTTGAGTATTAAGTGAAAGTAATTGAAGAAAACAAATATGAAGAAAAAGCGAAAGTAAAAGAGAAGGCGAAAATGAGAAAAGAGAAGTGTTAAAAGTAAGCGTGAAAGTCAAAGCAAAAGAATGAGGAAAACACAACCGGTTATGGGACTAATATACATATATGACATCACATTAGCCACTTACATATGTATATGTAAATATATAATATAATAATTGCTGCAAGGACATTAGTGTGAAACTGTTGCAAAAGTGGAAAAAAATGGGTAATATTGAGCAAATATAATAAGGAGAATAAACGGAAAGTATATAATTTAAAAAAATTATAAAAATAACAAAATGTTTGAACCAAAATAACGCTCTTGAGACCAAAAGTAGAGCAAAAAATGTAACACGTACATTGTATGTATATATAAATATATGCATTAATATACATATTAACAAACCTATGTATGTTTGCATGACAATTTTGGAGCAATTTTTGACGCAGAGTTGAAATTACAATAAAAAAAGTTTGCTATAAAAATTCTTTTCAACGTTGAAAAAAAGGTCTGCTGTGTAAAAATTGTTTAATTTCAACTTAAAATACTAACTGTGTATGTTAACTTTTAAATATTTTCCACTAAAAGCGCCCAAAATCAATTAAAAAACAGAAACTTTCGTTAGTTGCACAGAAACACCAGTCAAAAAGAGCCAACATAAATTAATTTTGAAAATCTTTTTGAAGACAAAGTCAAAAAAATTTATGTAAAACGTGTTTACACCAACATACATACATACATAAAGTTGTATATATTATAAATATATTTAAAACAACACAATAATATAAAAGAAAAAATATCAAGAAAAAATAAACAAAATTAAAAGTGCAATTACTTGGAAAATAAATGGTGAAATGATGTTCGTTAGTAAAAACAAAAAATAAAACAAGAAAAAAATTTGTAAAAAAAATATATATATATAAAATTGTGTAAAAGATTTGCGTATAGGGAAAATTTAGCAGCAAATGTATAATTAGAACTTTGATTGAACCAAATATAAAATTAAATTAAAAAGTTAAAATAAAATATAAATGAAAATTATTTTTAAAAAATTAATATAAAAATTTGTATAAAAATGCATTCTAATTAGCAACAATTTACAAACACTTTTTTAAAAAATTATTAATATAATTTCACTGCTTAATTTCAAAAAATTATGCATTGTATTGAGTTGAAGTTAGAAAAAAAACATACCGGACATACAAACAAACAGCAGAAATGCGCTCAAAGTTGCGCTAAAGCTATGCTTATTGAAGAGTCAACTGAGCAGAAATAGTAGCTTTCTAAATTGAGAGCATACTAAAAAATACAGAAAAAGTCAGAGGTCAATAAAAAATTAGCGTGAGAGAAGCAGGAGGGGTTATAAGAGAGTTCAAAATTTGTTTTCAAACTTTCCGAAATCACATTTGTACAAGAAGTACTTATTTTTGAACTACACAAAACAAATTTCGAAAAATTAAAATCAAATTTTCTAACAAATTCGTTTGCCGGAAACGGAACTTTACTTCAAAGTGCACCTCTTTACGCACAAGCGAACTACGCTATTGACACTGACAACTACCGGCCGATTTCAAAAACGTATGGTATACAAGTTGAAGCAACAAACACCAACACACACACACACACACAAACAAGTATTGGGACAAAAAGACAAGTTAAGCTACAGTTGATTTAATAATTAAGTTAAGAAACGTCTAAACGCGGACGTTTAGGGCTGAATGGGAGAGCGCTTAAAGGCGCGCAGAGAATGCAAATTGTATGTAAAATCCCTCAGGTATGTGTTTTATTTTCGGAGAGAAAAAAGATTGACTACCATATTTTTAAATATTGTATTTTAAAATGCTAAATAGAATGTTAGATTTGTAAAGAGTTAGTAAGCAGAGAGGACGTGTAGGAGAGAGAGAGAGAGAGAGAGCGAGAGTGGAACGCTGCTAATTGAGGAGCATGAGTGTTGCGTGTGTAGGAATGATCAAATGTTGTAGGTGTGCAGCCACAAATCGCAAATGTCTCCATTTTCTTTGCAAACACTTCGTCAACGCGCAGTTTTGTACATACATACAGACCTACAGATCCATATATACATTTATATAGTTTACATACATACAGGATATGAGAGTGCGCGAGTAATTTTACATATTATTTTATTTTTTAAACTTAAACCTTAAATATTTTTAACTAAATAATATTGTTAGTAAGTAAAAAGTTAGTTGCTAGTGCAAAGAACTTTTTCTACGTACATACATATGTACATATACTGCGCGTGGAATGGTTTAGTAGTATTTTGGGTGGTTTGTACTGAGCGGGGAGCATTTTTCGACTACTTTTTATGAAATATCAATTTTTAAGAAATTACACGCCAATCAATTGTTGTGTGTTTGAGCATTTGCTATGCTGCCTACCCGTTCTGGCGCAACAACAACACGAAATAATCTATTATTTAATTGTTAATATAGTATATGCTTACATACCGATTACTTTTTTTTACAGTGTAGAGAGGGTTAGAAGTGGAGCAGGCAGAGATGGCGAAGCAATGGGCTGCTTATATGTATATATAGACAAAATTGAATTTATAGTGCAATTGTTTTTTAAAAAACGAATTAAAGTAGTGAAAATCTTTAAGCGTGTGAGCACGTTCTTAATTTCCAGTAGAAACATTATGGCAATGTTTTTGTTTAATATATATTTTTCTCTAATACTTATTAACGCTTTTTTATGTGTAAATGTTTTGAAACATGAAAGAAAAGGACTCAAAGGACTTTTTTGTATTTTTTAACAAAGTGAAATGTTGCTATAATTTTTAAAATTTACAATTTATGTTGTTGACATTTACCAGCAACAATATTGCATATATTAAGCAAAATTGAAATCAAAAAATTCGCATTGCGCGTAAAGTCCTCTGGACTATGAAAAGCGAATGGCAGAATGCATATTTATATTTACTATATTTATAATTATAAAAAACAAAAAAATTTATATATACTTTACACATAATAAACGAAAAATCCAAATAAAATGAATATTAATCATTCTATTTTACAAATAAAGCTATTGTATTTAGATATCTATTATATTTGATATTTTGTTTGAATGAAACGAGTTAAAATTGTAAGCGCATTTAATGCAATGCAAAGTAAACTGTAATATTAAAAGTGAAAATGTTGCAATGACCTCGTGTACCAAATGTAATTACGATCTGATTTGTTTAGTTGTTTTTGTAAACACTATTTATTAATTTTATATAATAACCTATGTTTACCAACTAAGCGTATGGTAAGCTCCTTAGTTGCGGTTAAGCTAAAGAAAACCATATAGAAAGGACGAAAAACGAAAGCGCGTAAAATGATAATTTCAAAAGACAAAAAATAACAGCTGACTATAAAAAATAATAATTTTTTGAAATCAACTATATGCAAAAACAAAAAAGAATTGGTTTTGTGAATACAGTCAGCAAAAACACACCCTTTTAAAAGCTAAATCTACTAAAAAACAATGAAGATTTTTCGGTTTTTGCAAGTATTTCGAAAATATTTCTTCGTACTTCATTTCAGCATACAAATTTTTTCATATAAACATAAATATTACAGTTAAACATTTTGTAAACGTTATTTAACAAATTTGTTTTTAATGCCCTCTGTGAAACTAAAACACATACCAAGAAGAGAAGATTACAAGAACTACCAAGTAAAACCGTCAAATAAACAAAACAATAATTAAAATCATGTAATAAGGCACATTGCAACAACATGCATAAAAACAACCAAACCAATTAATTACAGCATACACTCAAAGAAACAAAAAAAAAAATAAACCAAACAGCAAAACAATAACAAACAATAGAAAAAACAGCTTATTTTCAAAACAAAACAAATCATATAAGTGTAAAAGAGCAATAGCCCAAATATATATAGCAATGCTTTGTGTATTGTATATATATCCATCTACACAGTATATATATTGTACTTGTATTACATACATACATATATAAATATTGGAAAAATCGCAAAATAGCCAAAAAACTATTGGTTATTTACAGAAATAAGAAACAAACTAAAAGCCACAATAGTAATCTTCCCTCTCCACACGCACAAAAACATAAAACAACAACACTTAATATGTTATATAAGAAATAATTGATTGCAAATCAAAGAAATTAATATAAATACAGCCGACAGTCGATTGTTTTTATTTTTAAATATTGTAATGAAATAGTCGAAAGAAACCAATATATGTAATGTATGTCAATAATATTGACTACAGTAATAATAAAAAACCAACAATAGCAGTAAACGGATTGGCAATAACCATAAATATTGTAAAAATTTTGAGCAAGATAGTATAAAAATGTGTTGGTGGCATTAAAATGCGATTGCACAAAAAATTGCTAAACAGATAAAGTAGTATAGGTACATATCCATACGTATATGCAGATGCGCTAGTAATACCGCGCATGGTTGGCAAAGCAGTGTTGGCAGTTCCTCATTACTTACCGGATATACGCGTACATAGCAGCAAACACAGACGGATATCTCGCACGTGAACACGTTTTTGTTGTTGACGGTTTAGAATCAAATAATTTTGCATACTTAGCATTTGAAATTAATTTTAATTGCCGGCACTTTTATTGACTTATTATAATATCTATACTCTGCTTTTACCATATTATTATGCATATGATTTTTTTTATTAGACTTCACTAACACTTCGACATTTTATCTTTTCCACATTTTAAATAATTACTACCTATTTTATATACTCTGCTTTTATTATATTATTTGGCATACGATTTATATTCTTTTACACAGCACTTCGCGAACACTACCACTTCTTAATTTTTCACATTTTAAATAATTACGATCGCTTTATTTTTGCCAATTTTTAAATAAATAAAATACATTAATTAACGCGAATACATCGATTAACCACAAAAAGCACTTCGCTTTACATTTTTACCACTTTTTAATTTATAAAAAACCGATTACACCGCGCGAAAGCAACGCTTTTCCAGAACTCACTCGACATTTTAAATTCTTACTTTTTTTTTTTAATTGCGATAGTTTGCTTTACGCGAACACACCGAATAACCCAAACTTACATTTTACCACTTTTCAATTATTTAAGACCGATTACTCTACGTGAACGCGACGATTTTTCGGAACTAAGAGTTCACTTTTCCATTTTTACAAATTTTTTAAAAATCGCGACCGGTTACTATACGCAAACACACTGACTATCCGGAACTGCTTGCAAATTACACTGCCTTAGCTTTTGCTGAAGGATAGACGCAAAAGAGAATACTGTTAATACAGTTCGTTTCGCTGTACCGTTTGAATTTCATTTTGACATACGAGTACATATACGCAAGCACAAACAATTTACACGAGTACCGCCATTTTAAGCATCACCTGATAAAATTTTGATTTTGAAGAAAATTCGGGAGCTCTGTGTAATTAAGGCACTAAAAATGTGATACACGACATAACGGTACTGATATGCAAGCAAACAAATATGAACTGCAAGCAAAAACAACAAATATCACACACAAGAGCCATTATCACAATGCGCTGCATACAAGCTGCCAGCAAACACTTAAATTCTTTGCTTTTCAACAAATTTTAAGCACACATGTATTTGGTATACTTTTGCATTGGATTGCACAACTTTTGCACGTTTTCCCAATGAATTTACTATTAATTTAACTATTTTTTCCACACTAAACACAGAACACACACGAAACGCGAACACGGACCGAGCTTAATGACAATTGCTGCCGACTTGGTTTTCAAGTTGCCATCTTAGACAAATGCAGCAAATACTGTGCGCGGTCGTTAATACAGTGCAAACGACGTTAGACGGCTGCTTCCTTAAGGCCGTTTGAACAAAACTGCAAAAGTTAAAATAAAAAGAATGAATTAGTAATTTGCAATCAAATAGAACAATTTTTGCTTAGCAAAGAGCAATCGCATTTTAAGCAATCATTAGCATTTTACTAACTTGCAAAACATTAAAATACACATATAATTAACATATGTGTCGATTTGCCCACAAAATACCCAACAATATTTACAATAGATATTTGCTTACCATAGTTATACAATAGTCAACCAAACAGCAGAAAATAAAATTAATTAACGCCTAAAATAACAAAATGAAAAAATTAAAACAGTGTATTAAATAGAACAGTCTTAAAATGTGTTTACAAAAACAAGAACAACAACAGTAAAAACCAACAACAATAGCCCGAAATACCAGCCTACAATAGCCCAGTAATTAAAGCAGTTTTAAATAAGCCAGAAATAATTGAAAAGAATAAACTAACAACAAACAGCAGCCACAACAATTACTTACATAATTACTTACAAACTACAAAACAGCAACAACAATATCAATAATATGCCGTAAACATAATAATAATGAATAGCAACTTGTACTTAACACTTAAAATACAATATTTTATTAAAGCCTACATTTAAATGAAAAAAGCGCGCCAAAACGTACGCGCAATGCATAAATACATATGTAAATAAATAGCATATGTATGTACATATGTGTTTTATATTCTCATCGAGTTGTCGACTGTTTTTATTTTATTTTGCGTCAATTGCAACCGACAAGTTGCATATTTCGTTTAAAATAAAGAAATTAGTACTGTTCACTTTCCATTTAACTGTTTTAATCGTTATGTTAAATTACTTACATACATATATTTTTGATGACTAACACCATAATTATCTAGCGTAGTAATGTTCATTTTTGTTATGTTTGTTACAATGCGCTTGCGCAGTTCGTTTCCTTATACCTATGTTTATGTTTAAAGCTGTAACTATCATTATTACGAAATAATATTTGTGAAATTACGCAATGTGAAACTAACTTTTTTTCACCTCCTTACTATGAACTTACAGTAAAGTAATTGAAATGTATTCGAAATAAAAACTAAATATCACATACAAATTACAATAGTATCTAACAATTTTAATGCATAAACAATACAATAGTTTTCAAATAAATCTCACAATTACAATTACAATTACAACTACAATAGCAATAGTAATAAGGCTCCAACCACAAACAATAAACCATAAAACAACCAACGACAACAGCCATGCAACAGAAAAAAATATACGAAATTCCAAAAATGTCAATAGTAATCACAAAATTAAAAACTTTTTGTTTTAGAAAATGGATTGAACATTTTTTTACTTAAATAATTATTATTTCAAAAAACCGAAATTTAATTGACTTCTATTTAAAAGTATAACAATTCGCTCCACAATTACAAAAAAAAAATATTTTTTCACAATTCCTTCAATTTTCAATTAAATATTTGCGTATTTTCAGTTTAAAAAAATTTAATATTTTCTTGAAATTATTCAACACAATTTATACACAAGTATTTATTGCAAAATTTTTAAAAATAATAAATAAAATGTAATTTTATATTATTGTAATTTATATATGCATCAAATTTTTTACTCTCGAGTGTTGGTGACTTTATTGTTTATAAAGTTATTATAAATAGAATATGCTGAAAGTTGTATTTCAACGCAAACTACACAACACTGACGCAAGTACAATATTTAAAATTCACTTTGGGTGGCAAAACTGGACATTACAAAAACACAAAACGGCAGAATTTTCACATAGAATGTACAAAAACAAAGCTTGAAAATGAACTACGACTAAATAGTCACTAAAAAATCATGCTGAGAAAACTTACATGTTTTTTTTTTTGTGCATATATAAGTAAATATTTTGAATACCTTGTTAATATATGAAAAAAATACGTTGAATTTACGGCAACACAAATGCAGCAATTCGGTTAACTCGCATTTTTAAGAATACGGCTGCTAACGGCACACACAAAAAATGACAGCAGCATAATTTTGTAGGGTTTACAAATTGATGTGCGAAAATTTAATGTTTATTTGTGGAAAAAATTACAAAAAAAATTATAAAATTTTTTTAATTAAAATTAAAATTTTTTATACAAAATTTGAAAGTATTTGCCGTAAATAAAACTAAGAAAATAATTGCCTGCAAAAACAAAAATAGTAACTATTTGGTTTCACATTTTTTTTCAAAATGTCCTTTTTTCTTTCGTTCTCTTTATAAACAACACAACACATAATATATAAAATGTAAATGTAAAAATGTTGTAAAATTAAAAATATATATATATTGTGCATTTAAATTTAAGTTTATTTAAAGTATAAAATTGTATTGGTAATCGAATGAGTAGCGTTCTATGTTTAATTAATATCTAGTTTAATTTTTTTTCAAGCGTTGCAACAAAAATAAAAATCGAAAAAATAAGTGAAACATAAAATTCAATTTAGAAATAGTAGCAACAAAAATATCAAACATTATATGCGTAAAATTAATAGTAAAACAAATATATGTATATGTAAAGAAAAGTTATATTTACAAAATAAAAAACGTTCATTTTGAAAATGATTACTGGGGAGACAGCAAGCAAGCAGAATCACTTTTATAAACGATATAACTTGTTTAGATTGCCTTAGATTTTTACGTGTCTAATTACATGCATAGTTTACATACAAAAATAGCGCTATGTGGATGTTTGTTTTTACATATATACATACATATATATACAGATATATAAATATTTACTATTTTTATAATTAAACTATAATGTAATTTTATTATTTTAATATGATTGATTTGTTTACACAACTATCTTTTTCGTTATTTTATATTTACATATGTATAACATACATGCAGACATGCTTAAATACAAAAACAATATATATATATATATATATACATACATATATATACTATATACATAAATACGTATACATATGATACATTGATACTTTTTAATTTTAATTGTTTAAATATACAAATACCAATATATAATACAAATACACAGACACATGGATACATATTATATTAATAAATAAATATTTTAGTTAAAACAGAGGAAAAAAAAACAAAATAAACAACAATTTGTGTACTACTCATTTTTTTCAACTTATAAAGAGCTGCGAGGTAATGTTTTTGTTGTGTTTTTTGTAATTTTATTTCTTAAATTTCATACAACTTTTTTTAAATGCTTTTATTTTGCACACAAATGTTAGGAGAAGACAGATTTTGGCTGCAGAATAGCAATGAAACGGAATACAGTAAGGAATAAAGCACACACACACACACATCGCAAATAAACAGAAAATAAACGAAAATATGCGAAAAAACAAAAATCACAACAAGCAATAACCAATTACAATTATAGCAATTTAAAAAAATTACAATAATTAAGCAATTCAAATACAATGCAATAGACCAAAGTGAATACTGGTCATGTGGTGGTCAAGCATGATGAGAATTAAAAGTGTGGTGAAGAATGTAAGCTAACAGCAATTTGAGATAACGGTATAAAGTAATCGGCACGCAAAGTAATTGCTACTGAGATCTAAAGGCAAAATACTCGATTACGAACGATTTTTTGGAAAGCAAAATGCTATAATAATCAGCACTATCGAAGTCTAAATATTATAAAAACCATAATGCTGAAGCCGAGTTGAAAGTTACTCGTAACAACTCCGAGTGAAGAGCACATTTTTAAAAACTCGTCATGCGACAGACTCCAACATTACCAATGTTTGCTCCATTTTCACATTGAACTATTGGCGGAAATACAAAATAATAACAATTACAAAGCAATAGTAACGGTTAAAAGTCAGAGCAACAATTTCGGTGAACGATTAATGCGAACTACAAGAAGAACTTAATTTGGTTTTTTTTTCAACTTTACAAGTTTGAGCAACGCTTACTTTATACTGGTAATTGCTTTAGAAAAATGTCAGATTCTGTATTTTTTTATTGTTTTCAAATGTTAGACTAAGCACACAGTTAGCCATTTGGTGAGATTGTGCGCCAGAAACCCACTTACAAAATGCGAAACAATTTTATAAATCAGTGAGTAACCGGTATTCAATGCTGACTGCGCAAACAGCCATCACTAACAATAAGTAGAGGAAATTCTTATCTAAACAACAACAACAACTTCAGGGATCAAAATTTCAAATATTTTGATTTATTTAGACCGAAACAACAAGCGTAAGAAGTAAATCAAAAACAAAACTAAAAATAAAATAAAGTAAATAAAACATTATATATACTGAAAACTAGAGAGACACTTGACCATATCCGAAATTTTTTTTACAAAATGTGTGAAAATCCAAAAAAAAAAACGGTAAATAAAAACAATAACTTAATATTGTGGGGAATTATGGCGTAAAATGGTGGGCACTATGTTATTATATATACATATATGATATAACGGTATATATGAAGTACTCGTGTTACTTGCTCGGCGACTAGACGGGGGTGGGCACGCCTTCAAATAGCGCACAGAGATAACATGTATCAACAAAAGCTGTAACCTAACAATCTTTAAGCAAATGAAATCAACTATTTTGTAAATAAAAAAGTGAACTTTTTTGGTAAAAAGAAATTTCAAGTGGTGAAAGTAAAATCAAAACAAACAAACAAAAATAAACTAGCAAAAGAGAAACCGACTTTTTGCGTTTCTTTAGGAAATTTAAGCGTGAAACTTGTTTCAAAACTTTGTATGTAATTTTTTGACAAATGCTAAAAGCACTTAAATAAATTAAGATTAAATAAGTGGAGCATAATGATGTATACGATAACTAAGTAACTAGTTTAGGCGAACAAAAAATTTAATACAAGTATAGAAATAGCTTTGGAAACTGCTTACTGAATATTGTGAAATCATACGAGAAAAAAATGGTTATTTTTGATTAAAAAATTATTTAAAAATTAAATTGTTTTGAATGAAATATTGTAAAAAAAAAAATTATTTAAAAAGAACAGTTAGTTGGAAAATAAACTTATTAAAATAAAAATTAATTGAAAAAACAATTTATTTTGAAAAATAAATGTTTAAAAACAATTTAAAAAAGGATTTGAAGAAAGTTTGTTTTGAAAAAACTGATTTAAAATAATGTTTCTTTAGACAAAAAATTTGTTTTAAAACAATAATTTGTAAAAAAAAATGTTTAAAAAAATATTTTGAAAAAAAAATTTATTTTGAAAAAAAACTATTAAATTAAATAGAGAAAATCAAAACACACTACAGACACGTGTACACAAATTGACTGCATTTCAAGTGGGTTTACTAAAAGAATCATAAAATCTAAAATAGTTTAATTTCTGTTTACTAATTTTCAAGAAGCATGGCTACTCTTAACGTTAGTTGCAAAAATTCAAAAATCTGCAAAAACATGTAAAAACCATTATTATAATATATATTAAAAAATTACATGAAAATCAAAATTAAAAATACCGTTATATTTGTAATTTATATGTGCACACAACGGTACACGATTTTCTGTTAATTCCTCTTCAGTTTGAGCTAAATTGTTTATTTTTATTGAAAATAAGAAAATTACTGATAAACTTTTGCTGAATATTTAAAACAAGAGAACAAGATTTCAAATCAAAACAAAATTGTGTATAAAGTAACAGGAGGCAAGGAAACACCTAAACCTTAACGCTGGGCATGACAAATATTGTAAAATATAAATTAATACAAAAAATATTGAGCAAATGCGTATGGAATGCGAGACGGATGTAAATGCAAGATGTGAAACAACAAATAAAAAAATAGCAACAACAAGGAGAACAAAAAAAGATTTACTTACCTATTGTAATAATGTGAACTTGGAGCATACTCAGTATTTTATTAATACTGTAATGATAAATTTATTTGAAAATAAAAATATAAAATATAAAAAAACAGCTTTTTAATTAATGGATATTGCTAGTTTGTAGTTAAATGTATATAAAATAAACCATATACATATGGTTATAGTTTTATTTTTTCATAAAGAAAAACCAGGTTACGGAATTAAACTATATAACTAAAATGTGCAAAATGTCTCTCTCTTTCCACTCCCGCAGAGCTAACAACACAAACGGTAGCTGATTGATCACTGCCTTATCGACAAGAAATGAACCAGACTAATTGATATCTCCACAACACTTTAACACAGAGAAAAATCAAGCCAAAAAATATGAATGCTTAGGACAGATTTAATATATTGAAAATCGGGTGAAGTTCCGCCCCCTTATAGGTTTATGTATGTATATATAATATAACATTTTTAAGTTGTCAAAAGTTCTCTTAGCCAACTGGATGCGTAATTACAAAAGTTTCTGAGGAATATCAGAATAGGAAATAATTTGAGGCTTGCACTGCGACCTAAGGTCCATTGTGTCTTCCCCTTTATCACAAGTATTCACAAGGACCCAATATACACCCACAATATAGATAAATTTCAGGACCCTTCAGTGCGCTATTGTCGCGATTTGATTCCTATTCGATTGTATAGATCGAAGAGCCTTTAACCAGCGTCAACAGATTATTGTGCAGTGTAGAATCAGTTGCTCAGGGGTGAGTAACACTACTCGGAACATAAACTACGGTCGAGTGGTCGAATATAACTGGCTTATAATGTGGGTTCAAAATTGTTAACTCTTAGGAGTCCAGACCAAACATACAATATTTTACTAAAAATATGTCCTTAAATGTAAAGCCATTATGCACCAAAAATAATGTAAATGCCCATATCTTCCCCTCACCTTCATACAGAAAATATGATCTCTATCTCTTCCCTGAAATTTTTACCATATTTATCTGTTAGGCTTGTGGGACGCTTTTTGCCAAAGTTATATGGAGGAAAGTTAGGTAATCATCATGATTTCTTGAGCAATATTGCCAGACTAATATTGAAATATCTTTGTAGACACACCTTCAGCAAACCCAGCGGAGTAGCTGGGATTGATATTAATCGTCTTCATAGATTTGTGGTAAGCTCAACGTTGATGTATGAGTATTTGGGGATCAATTTTTAAGCGATCTTGAGTATCACATATGTCCAACGTTCGCAGCTGTGCAAGTGAGATCCATCGATAGTACTCCACAAGAAACTCCACAAGTGAATCTTTTCTCTTCAACATTCAGTATTGAAACGACATACGAACATTTTTTGTTTAACAATTTAAACAATTTTTAATTACGAAAGTTTAATATTAAATAGATTTAGCTACGCGACATATCGTTCGGTTTTTTCTGATCCATAACGAATGATTTGAAACAGAAATTTTATATGGTTTACTAGTTGTATTTCTTGGGTTTGGAGAGCATTTCGATTCTTTGAGACGCCTTAGCTCTTAGTGCTGATTTTGATATGGACCAAGGGTTAAGGGGTTCAAGGTAATCGTGCTCCTTTGGTTCTGCTAGCTCCAGTAGACGAGCTGTGGGTTTGGCGCGTAATGCTTTCGGTGGTATGCGATAGGGATTTTTTCGTTTGTCTCTATTACCCGACGGTTTCACTGGCGGGACCGCCAATTCCAAAATACGTTGTGAAGCTATAAATAATAATTTTTTTTTGAAATATACATATGTATGTATATATACATACGTTGGTAAGTTATCGTGTTTTTAAGTTTCTTTTCGGACGAGATTGAATAGACCTTCCCTATTCCACGATTGACCGGCTCTGCCAGCTGAATTATGCGCTTAGTTGGCCTGTAACGCCTCAACGCTGTGGTTAACCTCCATTCTGGCTTGCTCCAATCGATTCGCTCTCGAGGATACGACAAATACCTGATCCGTCGCGATTTCATAATTATGCTTCTAAATGCGCACATGTCCTAACTTAATAAACCAATCTTCTAATTGTGTTAAATTAAAGAATAACCGTGAATTTTTTGTTAGACGCTGAGAAAGTCGAAATTTTTTATGCTTTTATGTGAAAAAAGTGAATTTTCATGTAATAAAAATATATAATAAAAAAGATATTAAAGTTTGTCAAGTACTATTTTGCTCATGTCTAAAAACTTTTCAGCATTTGAGTGAAAATATTTTTAAAAAATTTTTGTATTCCCTTTGAGTATTTAACATGCATTTGAGCATATCTGGATTATATATAATATAAATTAATGTATATATTTTTATTTGATATATAAAATCGATGTAGATAGTTTTACAACAATACAAAAATTCAATATTAAATTTAAAATATTAAGAAATTTAATGCAATAACTATATATTTTATAAAAAACTAAATCGTTTTAAAACAAATATAATTTAGTATTTAAAGGTATGTGGCAATCTTCCATCGCTGCACCCCTTTAACAACATATAAATAAAGTCGGCAAAGCAGTAAAAGCGCTCAATTCGTTCATTTGTTTGTATTTGAAATTTACATTTCAGTTCTTACAATTTCTCAGCTAAGTTTTCGAAAAATATTTTGACATGGCCTTTTCCCAATCGCTGGACATTGGGAACAGCACTTTACTAAATTTAGATAGCGAGGCGCGTCACGCCATTGACAATGAAGTAGAAGATAAGGGACAGCAAAACGCTCCTAACAGCTTTAAAAACAAAGAAAATGTGGCCGAGGTGATACAGGAGTCGCCGGAACATGGCCAGCGCTACAAGCAGCATAGTAATATAGCTGGTATATCCATGTTCAGTAGATCACGCACGCAGCGGTATTTATCAAGAAATGGCTGCGGTGAAGCCTCTGCCCGAAATGTGGATGTGTCCGCAAAAGAGCGGAGACGACTGCGGCGAAGCAAATCGGACTCCACACTACAGAAACGAAACATCATAAATGCAAGCAACAAAGCAGAGAATTACACTGAACTTTTTCGTAGTGGATTCACATTTTCAATAGAAGGAGAACCACAAAAAAGTGCTTTTGCGGGAAGTGGTTCCGTGTTGCGTATCTCACAAATCGAAGCAGCATTTGAAATGATAAAGGAGGAAAATGATGAAATTACACAAACTATAGATGATATGCTTCTTGAAGATGGGCAGACTGTAAATAATGATTTAGATATGCCTATATTTTCTGAAGACTTAAATGAACTTTTAGAAAATGTAAAAGGTATACAAGTAGAAAAAGACGTGTCTAGCATGGCGGCAAATAGTTCAATATCTTTGTCAGAATTTCCAGGAGATACTTCTGAATGTAAGGAGAAAACTACAGACATAACAGATGAACTGGATTTGCGCCAATTGGACCAAAGTAGATTTATCTGCGCTGATGCGGGCAGTTCCGAAGCAAAACAGCAAATAGAAAAAGAATTGAAAATAAGTCACAGGGAAGTGGCTAAAGTTGATGAAGTTTTGCAGACAATACAAGTGAGAAATAATTTGAATGCCTCTTATCCACCACGAAGTACTAGTTTTTCAAACTCTTCTGTCACCACAGTTAAAAAAGCGACCGAGAATATTCGCGATTTAGAAACACTGAAACGTATTAGTGCCTGGAATTTGCCGCATAGTGTGTTAAAGGAATATGAAAAGAAAGGTGTGGTAAAAATGTTTGATTGGCAAATAGAATGCCTTAGTAATCCTAAGGTTTGTACGAATTAAATATACAATATGTTAACGAAAATATAAGTAAATCTCATTTCTAGGTTATATTTGAACACTGCAATCTCGTTTACTCTGCTCCCACATCTGCTGGTAAATCTTTAGTCAGTGAGATTTTACTCTTAAAAACCGTGCTGGAGCGTGGCAAAAAGGTGCTTTTCATACTGCCCTTCATTTCTGTGGTGCGCGAGAAAATGTTTTACCTACAAGATTTGTTAACAGTAGCCGGCTACCGTGTTGAAGGTTTCTTCGGAGGTTACACACCACCTGGCGGTTTTGATAGCATACATGTAGCCATATGTACCATAGAGAAGGCCAATTCGATTATAAATAAATTACTAGAGTTAGGGAAACTAGACGACATAGGCACAGTGGTCGTGGATGAAGTGCACTTGATCTCCGATCCAGGACGTGGTTACATACTCGAACTGCTAATTGCCAAAGTGTTGTATATGTCACGCAAGTATGGCTTCCAATTGCAAGTAGTCACAATGTCCGCCACATTAGCCAATGTTGAATTGCTAAAACGTTGGTTAGACGCAGAGTTGTATATAACAGATTTTCGGCCAGTCGCGCTGCAGGAGATGATTAAAATCGGTAATAAAATATTCGATAACAAATTGCGTCCTTTGCGTGATATCAACGCACTCTTACAGGGCGAGGAATATCCACTGCCACAAATACAGAATGATAATGACCACGTAGCACATTTATGTATTGAAACATTACTAGAAGGCTGTTCTGTAATTGTATTTTGTCCGTCCAAAGATTGGTGTGAAAACTTAGCTACTCAATTGGCAAGTGCCATACAATCGCTTATACGTAAAGACGACCATTGGGGTAAACGCTTGCGTGCACAGATAAAATGTGACGAAATTGATGAAGTCAAAAAGCAGTTGCGTGATATACCGACAGGTATGTTAAAATTTAATTTCAAAATGTTTACAAGTAAATAATGATTATATTACAGGCCTGGACACTGTGCTCGATAGAATGATCACATTTGCTTGTGCCTTCCATCATGCCGGTCTCACAAGTGAAGAACGCGATATTATCGAAGCAAGCTTTAAGGCATGTGTTTTAAAGATAATTGTTGCGACCAGCACACTCAGCTCTGGTGTTAATCTTCCAGCGCGACGCGTATTGATACGTACACCGATGTTTGGCGGTAGGCAAATGAGCTCACTCACGTATCGGCAAATGATTGGTCGCGCAGGACGCACAGGAAAGGTTAAAATTGCAGTTATTTATTTGACGTCTGTTTGTATATACGCGAACTAGTCGCTCAATTTTTTTTAGATACTGATCTGAAATTTTGCACTTGCCCTTTTTTCCCCAATAAGCTGTTCATTTGTCGGAAAGTACCGATATTGGATCACTATGGCATATAGCTGGCATACAATGATCAAAGTAAATTTTTTGTATGTAACTATGTATGTACTGTATGTATGTACTTTTTTATTTGACAAAATATCTTCACGAAATTTAGCATGATTTATTGCCAAAAGCAGCAGTACAATTTACGAACAAACTTTTCAGATCGGACCACTATAGCATATAGCTGCCTGCTATACAAATTGATAAATCCAAATAAAGTTCTTGTATGGAAAATGTTTTTGTTTGACGGAATATCTTCACGAAATTTAGCATGATTTATTGTTTTTGTTGTTGTTGTAGCGGCAAAATTCTGTTGAGTTAACAGTCCTTGCCCGAATAAAAATCCTTCACATCGGACCACTATAGCTGCCATACAAACTGACAATTTTGTGTTGGTGTAGGATTTGTTTGTGTTTGTATATATTATAACCGGAGCTAACATTTTTTCTTGTTTATTATTATATTTTGAAATGAGTAATTGATTCATTAACTCTCTTGCAGGATACTTTAGGAGAATCAATATTAATCTGTACGCCTGCCAATACGCGAATTGGCCAAGAGCTGATACAAGCAGATTTGAAGCCAATCTACTCCTGCCTGGAACAAGAGAATAGTGTAAGATTATTTTCAGAGAGCGTAATCATTATAAGTTTTATTTTAAAAACTACGTAATAATGATTACATATTCACTTTACGATTTTCTGCACAAATAATGATTGATTTTGATTAATATTATAATAAATCGGACGTAATCATTATTTTTGACGAAAAAGTATAAACATGACGCTATCGATTTTTGTATGCCGATTCTAAGTGATTGATTTTTTAATTTAAAAATCGCAACTATAATCATTATTTACGGTACGCTTAACATAAACACATTCGCAGACTCACCTCAAACGCGCCTTACTGGAAGTGATCTCGTCCGGTGTGGCCATAACAAAGGACGACATTAAGTGCTTCGTCAACTGCACACTTTTGAGCGCGGAGAAACAACTCAGCGAACAAGGAAAGGATAAAAGTAAAGATGACGAAGAACATTTCATAACCGATGCGCTCGATTTTCTGATAGAATATGAATTTGTGCGTCTGCAAGTGGATAGCGCAACAAATAGAGAGAGTTATGTAGCCACACGCTTAGGCCAAGCATGTTTGGGTATGTGGAAGTGATTTAATAACAACAAAAATAATGACTAAATTAACTTACAGCTGCCTCGATGCCGCCTACTGACGGGCTGATACTCTTCGCTGAGCTACAGAAATCAAGACGTTGCTTTGTGTTGGAATCCGAATTGCATGCTGTGTATTTGGTGACACCATACTCGGTGTGCTATCAGCTGCAAGATCTCGATTGGTTGCTATTTCTCGATATGTGGGAGAAATTGACGCCGGCTATGAAAAAAGTAGGTGAACTAGTTGGTGTTAAGGAGTCATTTCTGGTGCGTGCTATGCGCGGGCAATCCAAATTGGACTACAAACTCATGCAGATACATAAAAGGTTGCAGCTAATTCCACATTTTTGAATTTATTAAATTATTTAAGTGTGGTTAATAGCTGTAATATATATGCAACTTTCAGATTTTACACCGCATTAGCGCTACAAGAACTGGTCAATGAAGTGCCTATCAACAGCGTGGCTGCTAAATATAAATGCACGCGTGGCATGCTACAAAGTCTGCAGCAAATGTCCTCCACATTTGCGGGCATAGTCACGGCGTTTTGCAACACATTACAGTGGCCCACACTGTCGTTAGTTGTTTCGCAGTTTAAGGAACGTCTCTTCTTCGGTATACACAGAGACTTGATCGATTTGATGCGTTTGTCCGATTTGAATCACAAACGTGCGCGTGCACTCTTCGACGCTGGCATCACAACGCTGGTGGATCTTGCAAACGCTGATATTTTCGAAGTCGAAAAGGTTTTATATAACGCGCTGAGCTTTGATTCAGCCAAACAGCATGACAATGAAGCGGACTACGAAGCGCTGCAACGTAAGCAAGCGCGCGAATTTTTCATAACGGGCAAAGTGGGTTTGACGGTAGCCGAAGGCGCCAAATTGCTGGTACAAGAAGCGCGCACATTCGTACAATATGAAATCGGTGTGGGTGGCATTAAGTGGACACAAGAACGTACGAATGTAGCGAGTTCTACGGTTAGTTTACACATGTCATGCGAAGAAAATGAAAAGGAGCATGGCAGTAAACGTAAAAATTTGGAACAGCGAAAGGAGTTGGAAGTAACGCCAACAAAATTGAAAAGACTGAAGAATGATGCGAAGCAGCATGCTATATTAAATGAAAAACCGTCAACGAGTAAAAATGCTTTACGTGCTTTAATGCAGCAACAGATGTTGCGGCAAAATTCCAGTCTAAATAGCAAACAAAAACAAGGAAACGCTGATGGACCAAAAATGTTGACAGCCGAAACAAATAACGCTTATAATATAAACGAAAAATCCGTTACAATAACGGCACAGAAACAGAATGGCGCATTAACAGTTGCAACCGCTGCAAAAAATATTAATGTAGAAAGTAATAAGGAGAATTTAAATACTAAGCCTATAAACAAAGCGTCGGCAAACGCTGAGCATGCTAAAGTTTTGCAAAACACAAATAAAATAATAGAAAAAAATAAAATTGTTGAAAAATATACGAAAAACGGTGCACAAAATTTAAAAATCGTTGCAACCGACGTTAACCTCAAAACAGCCAAAGAAGAACAAATCACAAAAACAGTAAATATTGCGGCAAAAAAATATGCGCTACGTAAATCTAACGAACCACAAACTTTTCCAAAGCCTACAACAAAAGATAGCGTAATATTGACACCGAATGTCAAGCGTAATGCAAACAGACACACTCCAACAACATCGCAGCAAACAGCAAGCAACAAAAATAAACACAACTCGGTAAAGCAATCGCCACAAGCAACACAAGTTATAGGCACCCTACCACGTCGTAGTCCACGTAATCACCAACGCAATGCGAATGCCAAAACAACCGATACTGTGCAAACAAAAACGTCACCACAACCATATATTGCCAACAAAAACAACACGAGCGCAGAGAAACACTTTGACCAATCACTTTTACTCGCTGATGATTCCTTCGAGTTGAATACGGGTATTAATGCTGCACTTGAAGCGGCAAATCAAGTAAATGCTGCTGCCACCACCGCAACAACCGCAGCCAACAAAGAGAACGACGACGAAATTGCGGAATCGCAACAAATTGTGCAAGCTGTGATCGATTCACCCGTGCAGGCGAAACACTCAGTGCATGCCTCACGTTTGCTACGCACAACACAACGCTTGAGAGCTACGCACAAAAGCAGTGTAACGCAAGATGCGTCTGCCACAAATGCACATGCCTCGAGTACGTTAGAAGTGTCGGATTTATCGCTTGAGAATTCACTGCTCCAGAATCCTTTGCAACTGAATGCGTCGCATATTTTGAATTGTACCAAGGTTGACGATGCCTCCACCAATTTCAAACGTCTTGAGATTGTTGACATCTGTGGTGAGCAGAAACTGTTCAATGCCGCACTGCATGAGCTGATGGCGGTTAAACGTTTCGGTTTCTGCATCGGTCTGCAACAGCAGGAGAGTAAATGTAAACCGCTAATAGGTGGCAATTTGCTAATAAATCAGCGCGCAGCTAGCGAAAATATGGCGCAACAGACGGTCGCAAAGGCGTTTCAAAGCGACGAGCATACATATTTAGCTGGTTGCGCTTTTGGCATCACAGAAAATGTAGTTTACTATATGAACATGCAGCCGGAGGGCACTGGCGCCAATGTCACTACCGAAATGAAGCGCCAATTTTTATGCTCACTGCTAACTATAGGTAAATGCACGCTACTCTGCGTGGATGCCAAGGAGCAGTTGAAGATATTGTATCGTGTTTTGGGTGAAGTTAGTGAGCTGCGCGTAGAACTGGAGGATCCCAAAGAGGCCAATTGGCTGCTGCAACCGGATAAATTCATGAGTTTCCAGCAAATGGTAAGCTAACAGTAATTATGCTGTTCGTACGAATAGAGTTGTAAGTTGTAAGTTGTAACATAGAACCGGCTTTTGACGTATTTACGAACGAACGTTATTATGAGCAAAATAAGTGCTTTATTTGTCCTTGGCCACTTTGACCCACTCTGGGAGCGTGTTTCCTTTACCGAAACGATAATGTGTGTTCGAAAGTGAATGCCTATCTTCTGGTCCTTACTTGATTCTTCACTACAAGGAGCCTTATTCGCTCCGTTGCTTAATTCACAGCTATTATACGTTGGAATACAGACTGCACTCAACGTTTTTGTCGATGACAGTTACATTTGATAGTCTGCGATTAGAATAAAAATTTGCTGGCCACTCGGTCAACAATTACACAGCCAAAATATGGTCGCCTTGAAGCAGCACGATGCAGCTAAGTTATATACAGACAAGTCAGAACACCGCACTCCGTACTATCATCGCATGTCTACCGTCGAACAGCTCCATAGTGAGACCCGTATGCTTCTGGTTGAGGAACATAATGCGCTCCTCTCCAAACAGTTTCTGTTGGAATGTTTTTTTCAGAAATCATCCCTACACTCAGCTGCTAACACTAGCCACCAGCCCGTTTAATGGACCAACCCCAACAGAGCTTAGTTACTAACTACAAGAACAATAACTAGCGAATATTAGCGTGGAGAGTCAAATATGTATATCATCCGATATCTATACTTCAATCAGTATAGAAGACACTTTAGTGTTTATTTCCTCATGACACCGAATAGCTCTAACATAATTCTACTCCGCATAGTGTAGCAGATTGAGAGCCTACTTATCAAGACTTGGCACCGTTATAAACACTAAACATACACAAACAACATTTGTACTACGTTTCAAGATTAACAGTTATAGTCTCTTTTCGCTTGCAGACCCAACAATTCGCGCCGGAATGCACAGCTCTCACCGGCTTATGCGGCAATGGACGTGGTTATAGTAGTCACGGCTTGGATACGGTTAGCGCTATTACGGCTAAGGTTAGGTAATGCAAAAAACAATTTTTTTTGTTCACCTAAGTTTTGTATAAATATTTTAATAAACAAAATAAATAAATAAACCACAGATGTTCAGTGGAGGCTTGCGTCACTATGCACATACTGAAAACGCAAATAGAAAACCTGGAACGTATTGGCTCAGGGCAATTGTACAAATTTTTTAAAGGTTAGATTTACTTTGTGAATTAATTTGTAAAATAAAATAACCTTAAAATTTTTAATTTTTTTTTTTAGAACTACAAATGCCTTTGCAGAACTCACTTTGTAATATGGAATTGATCGGTTTTCCAACGAATGAGGCTGCTTTGCGAAAAATTTTCCAACAAATGCTGGAAACGCTGAAGAAACTTGAATTGAAAATCTACGAAATGCATGGTGGCAGATTCAATTTGGGCTCTTCGACTGCGGTGGCGAAGGTAATGCACATTGAGCGCAATTTTTAATGAGAAATCTAAGTTGAACTTAATTCGCGAAATTCATAAATTTTTCATAACCTTAAAATTGTTTTAGTTTTGTGTCTTAAGATAATTGTAAAAATTTTAATTTTAGGTTCTCGGTCTGCACCGCAAACCTAGCGGCCGCGTGTGCACTTCCCGCCAAATACTTGAGAAGATCGATTCACCCATTTCGCAAGCCATCATATCCTATCGTAAAATAAGCACCGCATTATCCAAAAATATACAACCACTTTTGAAGTGCGTACAAAATGATAGAATACATGGTCAGAGTATAACTTACACACAAACGGGTCGTATTGCAATGACCGAACCGAATTTACAAAATGTGGCCAAAAGCTTTGTGGTCGCTGTGGAAGGTTCGTATATGCGGCATTTAACTTTTTTTGTAAACATATGATGTTAATAATACACGGACTGGTATATTCAAAAGGTAGCGAAGATGTAATTATATCCTGTCGCAGCGCATTTTTTCCAACCGAAAATGGGCGCTGCTTACTCTCCGCCGATTTTTGTCAGCTTGAAATGCGCATACTCGCACATCTTTCACAGGTGCTTTAGTATTATTTTTTTTTAGCTAATAATGTCATTTTTAATTTGCATTAAAATTTTTTACTTACGAAAAGGACGCAGCGCTGCTGAAAGTGATGAACACCGAACGGGACATTTTCAGCGCAATAGCAGCGCGCTGGCATAAATTGGCAGAAAATGCCGTTTCCACGGAGCTGCGCGATGGCACTAAGCAGATTTGCTATGGCATAGTTTATGGCATGGGTATGCGCAGTTTGGCCGATGCCTTGAAGTGTACCGAACAGGAAGCAACTTCGCTATCGCAGCAATTCCATTTAACTTATACGGGCATTAGGTAAATGCTTGCAATATTCTTTTTTTTTTGTTTTTTTTTGTTTGTTTATTAAAAATATATTTTTTTAACATTTTTATTATTTTTATTTAGAGCGTATACCGATAAAGTGGTAAAATTCGCACGCAATAATGGTTATATTGAAACCATTACGGGTCGTCGTCGCTATTTGGAGCATATAAATAGTGATGAACCACAGCAGAAAAGTATATACATAAGCTACTTGATTTCCAAATATGTTTACTCATTTCTTTTAAATGCCAACCCACTCCATTTCAGAGCATGCTGAGCGTCAGGCGATCAATTCGACAATTCAAGGCTCAGCAGCCGATATAGCAAAGAGTGCTATTCTACGCATGGAGAAGAATATCGAAAAGTACCGCAACAAATTGGGCATAACTAGCGCGAACGCTGTGCGTTTTGTGTTGCACATACACGACGAGCTGGTATTCGAATTGCCCATTGAGAAGGCGAAAAAAGTGGCAAAAATATTGAGTCTCACTATGGAGAATTGCGTTAAACTAAGCGTGCCACTCAAGGTCAAACTCAAAATGGGCAGAAGCTGGGGTGAACTGCAAGATATTAAGCTGTAATAACTAGACAGCGCAATTTGTTGATATTTAAAATAATAATAATAACTTGTTAAATTTTGTCAATTTTTCTATTCCATTCATTAAGTGACACAAATTATTTATATACTTGTAATTTATTCAATAAACTCACTACAGTAATTGTATACTACTCGTACTACTTTAAATGCAATAGAGAGCGATTATAGCTATGATTAGCTTTTGATTGTAAGCATGCAATAGTGCGGCAACGCAGTGATTATTATACGAGTATATGTTACTACTAAGCATATTTGATATGTTTTAACTTTTTCAACTTTTTAAGCTACTTTGTCTATTACATACGCGTTCTAAGCATATTATTTTCAAGTGTAATTTCATTTTTGTTATGCGTTTGCGCCAACTTAAGCCTTATTCAAACCCTCCTTTTCAGCCCACTCAGTCCAAGAGCCGGGGTAGTATTTCGCGCTAAATGCAATTAGAACAGAAATTAGATAGTATAATTGATATATTCGTATCTTATATATATATATATATATATATATGTTGTTACACTTACTTTTTGTAACCATTTGCTAGCGCCAAGTCGTAAGCTCTCTTAGCGCGCCCACCAGCCTGACAAGAGAATATCAATACTGTCTCTGTGCTCGGCTTGTCGCGATTAAATGCAGTTTTGAAATCATTTTCAGACATTTGAAAGGCGGCCTCCAGGTCGGGCACTGCGAGAGGAATACAAATAACAAATTTAGTTTATTTTTCTTTCGATTTTGCTCAACAAAAAATACTTTAACCTTAATGTATTATAAGAGGCAGGCTAAAGTCTTAAGCAGTTTTATTAATTGCAGCACACTTTGAAAGAACATTTCTTGTATCCAAATTTGGGTTTCAAATTATTAATTTCTCTCAAAGTTGTATTTATCACCTAAAATTCATTATTAATAGATTTTTTTAAATATATGAAGGAGTTGACAACTTTTGTTTTGTTTACTGTCAAAATGAACGGAATCGACCTTGACTTTTGGCAACTGCCATTTCTTTCCTTTTTTCCATAATAAGCGCTCGACTGTAAGATTCGATATATTTAATTTGTATTGCTGATATTCTATCATATTAAGTTTAATAGAAATTATTTTTATATGGCAAAATAGATAACAATTTTAAATGTTGATTTTTGCGCTTTTAGCGTAGAATTTTTGCTAGTGATGACTAAGGATGTCATTTGTCATTTATCGCATGTACGGCTTAGGGCTGATTAAAGTTCATGTGCCATTACATATTTTTATATTTATTACAATAAATAATACAAAGAAAAGAGTTCATCATTGAATAATTTTAGGTAAAAGCGGCTTATGCTCAACGCATTAATATGCTTCCTAAATAAAAATAAATAACTATTTGCCTATAACTACAATTATTTATATATTCAATTCAACACCTTGATTGTGACACCTTTCAAACACCCAAGTTATCACATACACATTTCCTTACGTACGTATCCACTTTAATGTTGTTGCTTTTAAAAATTTCTCTACCCCTTTAAAATATCCATATACTTACTTGGCACGCTAATAGCTCCTGGTATCACGCCAGTTCTGGCCAACTCGTCCTTGTTTCTAACATCAATCACAAAAGTGTTCAGCTGATTGGGCACATCTTTGACTTCTTCATAGGTCACAGTAGCCATTCTTGCAATGTGCCAAAAACTGGGCTTCGCTTGTTTGCCGGCTGCTAAAATACTAATAAAATTTGGCTTGCAAAGTGAAAATTAATGTATCAACAAATCCAATTTTACTGCTTGTGATCTTTATACTATTTAATCAAATGTTTAGTGATTAATTTGTTGCTTTGTGCCTTTTCTACTTTATGTGTTTCCGATAAGATATGTGTTGCTCGTTGTCAGTGGTAATTTCGTTTGTACCGGCTTGCAGTGTGCACTGATGTGTGTGTGCATTGATGTAACAAATGTTGGTGGTTTCAGCACTGATAATTATCGGCGGCAAAAGTTTGTTCTGTTGGTGACTTTTGTTGTTGTATATTGGTAATAAAGCTGTAAGCTTAAAGCTTAAGCGTTAGGGGCGTCCAATTGTGAAAGTTTGATAAAATTTAGATTTTGCGCAAAGCTTTTTTAAGGTTCGGTAGAGCCTTTAAAATATTTTGTGAAGGTAGCCCGCTTTTAATACTACTCGGATGTTTTTTGAACACAGATAAAGATTTTTGTCCGATCAGTCTCAACAACAGAGACTGTAGCGTTGTGGCGGCAGAAAACATTTCTAACGTAATTCAGATGTAGGTAGAAATGCTACCGAGTTGACAATCTTTGGCCGGATAAAAATCCGGGTCCGTTCCGATTACGTAGACCTGACTGTCTAAGATGTTTATATTCGATTAACGGGTCTCACCTCAGCAGCATGCAAAAAACGCATTTTTTAGCATTATTTCGTTCCGAGCTCTTTACTTTTAAATCGAGACCTACTTTCAAAATAAATTAATATCCTTACACAATAAAATGAAGAAAGCACCGTCATCGCTCCCAAATAGTTGGAGCTTCTTAATTGCAAAGGATCGAAAATTATTTTAAAATATTGCAATCAACCACCTAGACCTCAGAAACTAATAAAAGAATGCTTTTAGGTCATTAACAACAAAAATCGTTACGAATTATAGCAGCAATAAAACACAATTTCGCTATCCGATGTACTGCAATCGAAGCTATAACAACATTCACAAATAAAAAAGTTTCCAAACAAGGACTTGACTTTGATAGGCCAGTTTGTATTGCAGCTAAATCCTATTGCAGTCCATTGTCGTGTTGTTGTGTTTCCGACAAATGAGCAGCTTTTTGCAGAGAAAAAGACGTTTGAAAATTTTCAGATCGATATCTCTAAAACTGAGGGATTAATTTACATATATATGCACACTGGTGGCAGAAATAATAGGGACAACCCCATTGACTTATTTTAAAGCCCCAAAAAACTATTTATCAACATAAATAGGTTTGAAACACATGTCCCTATGCAACGATGCTTAATGTCAGTAATTCCAGTTTATTTCGTTTTCCGTAAATTGTTTTGAGAATGTCGGCGTAAGTGCTATTTTGTTTAAGTTGACAGCGTTTTCAGCTGGCAGGAATAATAGGGACAATCACCGTAAATTTGTTTAAAAAGTAAAATATCGAATCAAAACATGTCAATAACATAGCTTGGAGATTGTACCGTTATCTAAAGCAAGTTTCGCAAAGATATTTTATTAAATAAAAAACTTTTCCATAAAAGGAATTTATTTTGGTAGTTCAGTTTGTAGTATGGCAGCTATACGCTGATATGTGATCCGATATCGGCGGTTCCGACAAATGAGCAATTTCTTGAGAAGAAAGGACCAACATCTCAAGAACTTAGTGACTAGTTCGCGTATATACAGACAGACAGACAGATGGGCATGGTTAAATCGACTCAGCTCGTCACGCTGATCACTTTGATATGTATATATTTTATTTCCTCTGGATGTTACAAACTTCGTGGCCTACTTAGGTTTACTCGGTTCGAACTATAATGAATTTATATAGAAATTTTTAAATATATTTTCAAAAATTTTTTATTGTTTTCATTTAATATCTATATAAAATTTCATTTACATACTTTGTTTACAACTTTTTTTATTTTATACGTGTAATACATACATACATATTTATATATGTGCTACATACATAAATATGTGGCAAATAGTATATAATACGTAAAAATGTATAATTTTATTGTTTTTGCTAAATAATTTAAACAATTGCATTTTATTTAAGGCAATTTTTGTTATGCAATTACAATTACGACTTCAAAACTTCAATTAAATTGAAATACAAATGTATACACTTGTATAAGAATATAAAAATATTGCATTCAGAACAAAAAAAAAAAACAAAACTATGTTAAAAAATTGCACAAAATGTGGAAAACAAGCAAAAATGCATAACCTACAAACTGGTGAGAAATGCGCAGGACTCAGCCAATGCGTTCAACTGAGCCGAAATCAATGCAACAACTGTGAAAGCTACAATTTTTGTATACTGTATACTATTTTTTGCATATGCAATGGATTCATTTAAGTTTGTAACATATTTTTCATGTGTGCATAGGACATTGCGTTTAAAAGTGCAAATAGTTGCATTTATGGTATGTATGTATCAAATATATTTTCACTTTAATTTTTGAATTTTCCATTTGTTGTATACATATACATTTAGTGATAGTTTCATTTTGAACAAAACTTACTTATTTATATTGTATATGTAAAGACCATATATATAAATATAAAACGAATTTTATAAAGAAAGCGCTTAGATATTTATGCATGCATGTATGTGTGTATGTATATTCAACTAAAGTGTGTTTCATAAACTTTTTTATTATCTTTTCAATTTGTTTTGTATATTTAGTTAATATTGGCGCATATGTATATGAAATATTCAAAAATAGATTTCAGTTACATTCACATGATATAAGGGGGGTTCAAAATTTAAAATTCAAATTCAAATTTTACTTAATATACATTATAATATACATACATATGTAAGTGGTGTAATAGCATACATACAATGCAAAGTGTGCAAAACACATACTCATAGTATATATATACATACATATGTACATATACATTTAGTTATTTTAGCGCTTAGTTGGGTATACAACAATTGGGTTTGTTCCTTTCGTATATGTTTGTATGTATATATAGGTAACAATGCACTTTAACGACGCTTTGTGCATATCGATTGCCAGCTCTCACATATGCGACAACAAGTAACATATATGTATATGTATGCAGATGTACATATATGCCATAAAAATAGGTGTAGTTTACAATATATAGTAGCTTAGATGACTTAAGCGCATAGTACCATTTTTGTAATACATTAATTTTAATTAGCAACGATATTATAGGAAACTGAAGCGAGCTGAAATGTACGCTCGTCATAACGAAGTCATAAGAAGTGAAGGAACCAAAAAAAAAAATGATAAAGTAAAATAGAAAATTTTTTTATAATAGCACTAGCAACGTTTCGCCGGTGGCACCAAGTGTTCGGGCAGCACATTCGGCAGTTCGTTGCCCTCCAGTTTGACATTGATTAAGTGCAAAGCGAGTGCAAATTCGTCCGAATCCAGAAAACCATCGCCATCGACATCGGACAGCTTCCAGATTTTGCTGAGCACCGAGTTGGGCAGCTTCGATTTGATGAGTTCTTGCTTGGCAGCTGCAATATAAAATATTGTGTTTGTTATTAATATTATTAAGCTAAGTGAATTTTCGACTTACTCGCTCCCGATATGCGCCCATCCACCGGCCCCAGCGCGTTAAAGATGTCGTCTGTGCGTGGTTTGTCGCGACTACAAATCCAATCGTGCTCGCCGAAACCAGCATCGATGCCCTCGCCCTTCATGTAGCCGAACGGTGAGACGTGATCGTCGATTACACCAGCGAAAGCGCCACCTAAAAGCATTAGATTGAAATTTATATGAGAAAAGTGTAAAGTTCGGTAAACAAAAGTTAAATGTACAACAGTCACTGCTAAAAGTATGTATACACCTACTATATAATTAAAATAAATAAAATCAAAGGTATTGTATATATATATACAATCACACAAGCATACATATGCATTGCATGTTTTAAGCATAGATAGGCATATTTCTATTGCTCCTAATTTTTAGCCGCCGCTGTGCCTCAATTTATGAACCTGCCTTGCCGCTCGGTCAGACGCTTTGTGTCCTCGGCGTTTGTTGGCCTTTTCAATCGCTTGCGTCTAAGTAGTCGCAACAGCAATTACCTACAATTACGAAGTGCGCTCGTCTCCGCTGGCGCAAGCACTTGAATGAAAGAGCGCGCACCGGCTACCGGCTTGAAAGTTGCAGCGGCTTTGGCGGCCACTTCAATTCTTGTATGCGTTTATGGCAATTTAATCTCAATTGTCGCTTCACAATACAATTGATTCGCTTGTCTATTGGCCGGTGAGTAGCGCACGAACGCAATTTGCAACGATGCATTTGCATTTTGTTGCAAATTTTACGCTTTGCATTGTGCAAAAAGTGCAACTGACGGCGTATGCAAGTGCAGTGGCAATTAAAAGAGTCTGACTCTAAACAATTTTCGTTATTCAAAGGAAAAAGAAAGAAAATATAAATGAAATACGAGACTAGGGCAGATTATGAGGCCATGCGCACGCGAGCAATTTACTTTAATTATGGGCGAGCTGAAATTGCAAAGAAGAAGAAAGTGTACCATATTGCAGTGTGGTAGGAATACCGACTGTTTATACAAAAAATGTATAACATAAAGACACAATAGCCGACATCGATTCGTTGATTTTCTGCTCGCTATGCTTGAACTCTAACCTCTGGTCGGGTTTACCCAGTTGAATTCAATAACAGAGAGCAAAGGGTTACCTCATTAAAGTAGTATAACTACTCGTTAGTCTATTATCAATTTCTTATACCAGTCTATTTGATTTTTGCCAATTTTTTGTACGACTCGCTACTCTCCAATATTTAGGCAATCGAACAGCGATAATTATTTTAATCTTTCTTAAACGTTAGGATACAGATAAGGAAAAATCTTTAAGTAGAAGTAGTGCCGTACTTAACGCTAATTCGTGTCATAATCTAGCATCGTTTATTTTGAAATTACGATTTCACTTGCTATCATATTGAGCGTCTACCCTGAATGCGTACTCTCAATTTATTTATTCGTAGATCGTTGTACTTAAAATAAAGAGATCTTTGAGTTTCCAACTTCTCGCTTCTAAATATATATAATATCATAATATGAAGGGAAAAAGTATTTTGTTGAATTCAATACGACTTTTGTGCCTTTTTAGACGACTTCGAGGAGAATCATGAATTATAGAAGAAGCAAAAGCCCAAGAAGGAGATCAAGTATAGATGTAATAATATTACTGCCTACTATTTGTTTTCTGTTCCAATTTAGACTATTAGGTATAACAAAAACCTCCCTTCATCTCTTGTTATTCTGTTAACCACGTTAGCATTGCAGAAGCGAGGAAAATTATGATCAATTGTTGTTAACATTCGGACGGAAAATCAGGTAATTATCAAAGCAACACATTTTGCTTAGGGTATTTAGACATAAACGGGTTTTTGCTAAACTGGCGCCGACAATCCGAAACTTTTCAAATAAATACCATCACATCGATCAGCATTTTCAGATCTAAAAGTATTCGAAAGAGATAAATAGTCAAATCATCGCTTTATTTTGTATTCACAATATTTAGCTCTCAAGAGCTTTCCCTACTCACTCATAGAGTGTTTGAAATGTGTCAAGAATCTATGCAGTCCATAAAAAAAGGAACTAAAAGCCGGCCTTGCAAATAGGGGAAAGCAAACAATTTTTATTATACCCTGTACAGGGTATATTAAGTTTGCCACGCAGTTTGTAATATTCAAAAACGTCGGAGACCCTATAAAATATATAGAAATATAAGTGATTAGCGTGACGAGCTGAGTCGATTAAACCATGCCCTCTGTCCTCATCTGTCTGTCTGTCTGTCTGTATATACGCGAACTAGTCACTCAGTTTTTGAGATGTCGCTCTTTCCTCCTCGAGAAGCTGCTTTTTTGCCGGAACCGCCGATATCGGTTCACTATAGCATATAGTTGTCATACTACAAACTGAACGACCAAAATAAATTATTTTTATGGAAAAGTTTTTTATTTGATAAGACATCCCTCCAAAATTTGGCATGAGTTATTGTCTAAGACAACGGTACAATCTCCAAACCGAACAATCAAAATCAAGACCTTATTTGATATGGCAAGTTATCTGCAGGAAATTTGGCATGGATTATTTACCAAGGTAACGCTATAATATCCGAATAAATTTTTCAGATCAGACCACTAAAGCATATAGCTGCTTATCTATTATACAACTGCCATACAAATTGATTTTGTTTGGAAACTTTTTTATCGAAGTTAACGTTTTTTTCTTTTTTTATCTCATAAGAATGAACTTGCATCAGATATTCTGCTTAGCCCTTTGAAAATTATGCAGTGTGATCGCAACAACACAGGGTGCAACTCAAAAGCTGTGGAGTCTAATTCAGCATATTAAAATATATGAATAGTACAAATTTATGTACATATATATATATACATTATATAGAGACATGCAAAAACTACTGATAGAGCAATTTTCTTAATACATAAATATTAATGGCAGAGCACAGCGCGGAGTAATTGCTTTATAATGATGTAAGCTCTGCGTCATATCACTTTCCGAAAAAACAAATCACTGTTCGAAACACTGAGTGTTTGATTTAAAAACAAGGCTATATATAGAGTCGAATGGTATATGGGTTGGAATGTATGTATATATATCGACCGCACCTAATCATTCATTACTGGCGCCTCGATTGGTCTTAAATTTGCTCAACAATCGACAGTTGCTGAAGTTTTTTTTTGATAAATCGATTTTCAAGTGCTTTATATACAATATAGCAAATTAATACATACAAAGAATATAAATGTATAAATATATAAAAATTCAATAAAAGTGAAATAAGTAACATAATGTTAAACACAGCGGTTAGGTTAGGTGTGAAATAAACGCAAGCACATAAAAAATTACATCACAGTTAGTTGCCTTGGGCGCTGCTTGTCACTGCGCTACAACGATTATAAACGTTATTTATCAGGCAGATAATTACATACATATGTACATGGTAGATGTACTTGTACATAGAATTATGCTCTCTATATATTTGGCAATTGGGCGGCGTCCCATACGAGCAATCTAGCCGTTGAAAGGAGCGGTATTTTATGAGGAAAAAAATAGAGCGAGCGGCAAGCAAATATGCTGATAAGATAGCAGCGAGTAGACACATATATTTGCTACACATATATGTATGTATGAAAATATATATAATATGTAATAATATGTCGGTATGTGGTGCTTGGCCGCACTGCCCTATCATAAGAGGCTCTGGTAAAATAGTTGACGCAAATAATTAAGAAGCTAGTGCAAAATTAGAAATAAGAGCATATATAAGCACTTAAGCAAATAAGCCACAAAGAGATAAATGTTAATACAACTTCGCGCCGCAATTGCATGAACTCACTTAACATCATGGTACACGGTAGCATGTGATAAGTGCCCAAAAAGCGCAAAAGAACAGTTTAAAAATTTGGAAATATAGCCAAAGTTGGAGTGTTTATTCAGCAGCTATTGCATAAGTGTCACACATTTTTGCTTTCAAATCAAATTCTTAACGAGTTTTCGGCGTAGTCTGATAAACGATAAAGAAAAGTCACTCAAAGTAGCGCTGATTGACTTCTAGGAATCTGCAATGTCTGCTTTTTTTTCTAAATTTCATGTTCTTCTGACCCAAAAACACGGTAGCGACTACAGCAAGTACTCTTGCTAAGATTGTATGTATTTGCATCAAGTTCATTAATCAAAGGTCAATGTACGCCTGAGGAATTAACTTAGCATTCGGACTCACAAAAGAAATTCGACAGTGTTACACACACATAGCTGTATGTGTTTGTAGGCATGTGTATCGTATCACCACACTCGTTTGTCAATCGAATTGTCGAGTCTTGGCACTAGTAGCCGGCGTTTGTGTTTGCCAACTAGCCAGGAATAATTATAGAAAGTAAATACATAGTCAATGATCAACAATTTAAATATGGATTTATAAGTTAGCCGAAGAATAAATGACTTGTTTGCATGACAAAAATCACGCTGAATAAATTATGAAAAATAAAAACTCTTTACAAGCACTTATACATACATATATGTAGATTAATTTACTACACAAAAATTTATTTTGGAGATATCAGACAGAAATCTAGTAAAAAAAAAAATTAAATGTATATATATATATATATTTTACTTATTTCGTACCGACATTGAGTAACCAATAGAACTGAGAGGATAAGTCCGGTCAATTTGTATGTTTGATTGTTATAAGCTATCAGTTTTGGAGATATCTGGCTGAAATTTTGTAAAAAGTATTTTTTAATAATATTGTACTTTCATGTAGTACATTTTCCTAAACGGCTACTTTCTAAATTTTAGTCGAAATATGTGGAAGCGGGAATGCCGCCTGGTTTTAGGAAAAATATAAAAGGACGAACTATGGTCGGTGCAGCGGTTCTAGTTTTTCGAAGGGAAATCGCGCAATGAAATCAAGGAATGCTTGGATGCTGTATATGATATGTGATATCAATGGCGATCGTTAAAAATTGGTTAAAAAAATTTCAATGTGGTCGCGTGTTGGTCTCTGTTGAGCCAACGGCCACCCTGGAAGACAACGTGACAAAAGTCCACGACCTTATATTAGCAGTACGCCGATTAAATGTGAGCGAAACAGCTGATACAGTACGCAAAAGACCGGGTTAAGTGGGTTAAGACACATAATAAACTTCATTCCAAGCAGATTCTGCTGGAATGTTTCACAGAAATCTCTACAATCG